TTAATAATCAAATAGGGTTAATATTAGAACCTACACTTCTAGTTTTGTGCATTTAGGTTCTTTAACTTTCATAATTCGACACTTTAAGATAGAGGAAGCCTTAATTTATTCTTAGTTAATTAGGATGAATAAACATTTGTTTAATTGCCTTTTATTTTCAAACCTAAGGCAATGTTCACTTATTAGGGAATTAATGGTACATCTCCCGCAAGTATGCTCAAGGGGTGACTACTGGTGATTCCCGAAATAGGTCGACATCCTTTTCAATGATCGCGCCATGATTTTCTAAAAATGAGGCAATATTCAGTTATAAGGCACAATAGTTGATCTCCCGCATTTATGCTTGGGAGTGAATGCTATCGGTCACAATAAATGAATACCCTTTTCAACTTTGCATCCGTAATGATTTTCAAATTAAATAAAGATCGAACTCAAAATTTCTGATTTTAAATATAGGGTAATCAACTAGGTACCAATTTTTGGGCGCTTGTGGGGTGCTAATCCTTCCCCAGGCGTAACTGACTCCCGAACCCAATTTCTGGATTTTCGCAAACCTTAAAACTTTGTATTTTTATTAAAATAAAATGTTTTATTAAAATCACCTGGTTTTACGGTGTCCCAATCGCACCTTAAATTATTGGTGGCGACTCCTCACATTTCGAAATCTTTTAAAAGAGAAAACCCCCGAGTCGATATCGGTATTTTCCCTGCCTAGGCGAAAAACGTTGTTGACAATAAGTAATAATATTTGTTTTAAAAATTCTAATCATTTTGAAGATGAAGTATTTTGCATGTGATTTTCATTTGTTTAAAACATATTTTGAAAGAGAAAAATGCTTGAAGGATTTTTATTTCTCCATGTAGTGTACCCGCCAAATTATTTCCCCAAATAGGCAATTTGCTACAGTACACAGTGAAGACACGGAGTAATTCCTACGGCCTGTTGAAGATGCTAAGATTTCTATGCGTCTTGAAGCTGAAGACCCGGGGATTATCATGCGTCTTCAACGCATTTTCCCTCCCCTTGCAAAGTTGCATTACCGTCATCCGCCCCGTGAAACCTATATCACAGTAGAACTAACCCTATTTGGAGAAATAATTTGGCGGGTGCACTACTTAGGGAAATAAAAATCCTTTGAGCATTATTCAAGCATTTTTGCCTATTTCCAAGTCTACATAAATCGCACACATTTAAAAAAAATCCGTTTGACTATTTGTTAGAGTAAAAAATTTGAAACCAACTATTAATACATAGGAAAATTTTACAGCGCTCGACAAGCAATGATGAGTACCACTAACGAGGAGCGTCATTAATTTAATTTATAAAAATTTAAATTCCAAAGGACTAAACGTATAATTATAAATTAGCTAAAAATTTTAAAGATAAATTATTTAAAATAAAGGGTAAATTATACCAGTGACCACTAACTATTGCCCCTTTTCATTTTGACCAATATTTTTGAAATTTTGTTAATCAGATCACTCAACTATTTAAATGCATTCAATTAAGTCACTTGCCATTAATATTTAACAGAGAAGCTGATGTGGCAGTTAAAATATTTAGTATAATTACACATTTGGTTACTGTTACTTATATATTCTATCAATTTAGTCCTATTTTAATAAATTAAAATAAACTCAACCCTCAAATCTTTAATTTTAAAAGATTTTTAAAAGTTACGACATATTCTATATTTATAACAAAACAAATTTTTTATGAAAAAATCCATTTATGGTTCAAACGAAGCACAATTGTCACATAAATCTACATGCATGTCACGAATTTTCAACAGGAAAATTGTTACAATTAGGAGTGCAATTACCGAGCCAAACTTATTAAAGGAGTTGAAAATCAAGCCAAGTTTCAAAATCACACTCGAAATTGAATCGGTCAGTATTCAAACTCTGTTACAACTTGTCTGAATAGAACAAAATATAAACTCTAATTACAACCTATCTTACTAGAACATAATATAATCATATGAACATGGATTAATTTAATTACCCACAAAACTTATCAAATATGAATATTTCAACAAATATATGAAGTGTCTAAGCAACATAGATTTTGTTTTGTTAAAAATATAGAATATGTTGTAATTTTTAAAGTCTTTTAAAATTAAAGATTTGAGGGTTAAGTTTATTTTAATTTATTAAAATTACCAAATAGATAGAATATATAAGTAACAGTGACCAAATGTGTAATTATATCAAATATTTTTAACTGCCACGCCAGCTTCTTCGTTAAATATTAACGGCAAGTGGCTTAATTGAATGCATTTAAATAGTTGAGTGACCTAATTAAAAAAATTTAAAAAATATTGGTCAAAATAAAAAAAGGCAATAGTTAGGTGCCGCTGATATAGTTTACCTTTTATTTTAACTAATTTATCTTTAAAATTTTAACTAATTTATAATTATACTTTAAGCCCTTTAAAATTTAAAATTTTATAAATTAAATTAATAATATTATTTGTTAATAATTCTCATCACTGCTCGTCGAATGTAAAAGAATCATCCTAATACATATTGTTAAATTTGCGCTGTAGCAATTGTAGTATAACATCCCAAACACAGGGTTAGTGACCAAATTGTAAAATTTTAGTATTTAGTGACCAAATTAGATAAATTGAAAGTTTAGGGATTTAATTGGAATATTTTTGTGTAGGTTGAATAGAAAAGAAGGATGAATGGAAGGGTATAATGGTTAATTGACAAGAAATAAATTTAAAATTTGTTATGGTTATTCTATATAACCACGTGGAGCAATTGTGAGGAGGAGAAAAAGATTTCCAGAGAATTCTTCATCTTTCTTCCTCCTTCAGACGTGAATCCCATTTGAAAAGGTGAGTTTCATATTAGTTGATTAATTATTGAAATTAAGTTTGGTTTATGTTCTTTAGGTAATACTTAAACTTAAGGAGAGCTTAAGTTGTCTTAAACCTAAAAGAATTGTAAGTTATGACGGATTGAATATAAGAGGTTTCTAATTGAAATTGTGAGAAAGAGTTAGTAAGTCAAGTTTGATATTAAATTTGACTTGTCATCAGTTAGAATAAGAAGTATAAAGTGTTAGAAATGAAATTAGAACATGTTGGAAATTTAGCAAGATTCTTGGTTTCAAGATTTATGATGAGATATTGAAGATGATGATGTGTTATATGGATATAAGATGGTTGGAGTAAGTGTAGTTGAGTTTAATAGCATGAAAGGAGTTCAAAATGAAAGGTTTAAGTAGGAATTGGTAAATTTTCGGGCTATAGGAGTGAAGTCTGTGCAAGAAGTATCGGTACTGTTCATCTAGTACTGATACTTCAAAGAGAAAATGGATGATATTTGGGTATGGGTATCGATACTGGATGAACAATATCGATACCATAAGGCAAAATATCAATTATTCAAGGAGTATCAATACCGAAGGGGTAGTATTGATACCAATGGTACCGATACCATTAGGCAAGTACCGATACCATTTTTGAAATGGAATTCCAGAACCGGAAAAGGGTATCGATACCAAAGCACAATATCGATACCTCAGTAAAGGAAGTATCAGTATTGTATCTTGGGTACCGATACTACTTAAAGTGAAAAACTGAATTAAGTATTTCTTTTAACTTAGGTTATTGATGATCAATTCATAATACGTAGAATTCTAATATTCGTATCAAATGTATAATAGTGTAGATATAGAACATAAGCAAGTTCCGGAACAGTCGACGCGTCAAGATCGATCAAGAGAGAGAGATAAAGAGTTATAGAAGTTGTTGGGACTAAGTGAGGCTAAGGTGAGTGCATACTATATTACAGATGGTGTTTTATGGAAATAAGACTTGTGATGAGTGTATTTCCTATGTTTGATTTCATGATTCTATAATTATAAGCATGTAGATGTCATGATTATTATGAGTACATGCATAAGTGACATATGTTTATATGTTATGAGATATGTTATGTGATCTATGTGAACTTAAGAGAACAAAACATAAGCTATATGATACAATATAAGTGGTTATATGCACATGTGATTACATGAGAAATGATATGAGTTATATGAGCACATGTATAGTGATGATTTGGTTGACTATGTGAACATGTGAAACATATAAATGGTAAAGCTCATGTTATGTGATATGAGAGCTGAGGGTATAATTGGCATGCCAAGAGTCGAGGGTTCTACGAGGTCCTTCGGGATATATATGTGGTCCTTCGGGACAATTCTACGAGGTCCTTCGAGACATTTTATATGGCACTTAGTGCAAATTTATACGAGCTTTGGTGACAACATTTGTGCACAACCTCAATGCACTCACATACCTTAAGTTCTCCGTAATGTACATGGGTTAATAAAAGATATAACATGAAATAACATTGAATGAATTGATATGTTATTATTGGTTAAATACATGTCCATGTATGTGATTGTTAATTAGATATATGATTATTGTTATTACATTATGAGATTATAGGGTTGCATGTTTCATGATTTCATGATTTCCTTACAGTTTTATATGCCTCACTAAGTCTGTGACTTAGCGTGTGAGTGTTTCACACGTAGATTTAATGAAGCAGAAAGAACAAAGTAAGGATTAGTAAAGACATCATACCTCTACCAAAAGATCAAATCATAAGTAATTTACAAAGTATGTATTTTGTTGTAATAAATGTGTTGGCATGCATATAAATGTGTGAATTATATATGCTCTGATCACTTTTGTAAACATACAATATTTTATTTATGTGAATTATTGAGTTTTTACTTTTTAAAATAAGTTGAATGATGTTTATCTATTTTTGATTAAAGGTTTTATCATATTTATTCATATGTATATTTAAAATTTTAACAATATCTTCAATATAGATTTTTTGAAAAGTCAATATGACACCTCGTACTCGAATTCAAGTCGGATACGTGTTAGAGGTATTACATGTAGAGTGTTGGACAGAGTAAAGAATTGAACGCATAATGTAGGAATAATTTTCAACTTGATCAATGAATTAATTTAATTAACTTCCAATCCATACAGTACACCCGCGTGCATTTCCGGTCCATCCTTCACGAAATACACTTCCCTAATTTTTTGGAACGCATGCCACGTCATCAAGGAGTCTGACCCGGCCTGGTGACATTTCCCGACCGCTCGGTTCACATCCAAGGTCCTGGCCACCCTATCCAACCCTCCGTACAAGCTCCGGCAAAATCTCATCATGTGCTTCACGTCATAAACTTTGCTCCCAAAAAACACCCTCACTACCTTCAGGAACTCGTCCAAGCCGCCGGGAAGGTCGCGGCGTGTCAGGATCTTAACCAAGTACCAGAAATCGTACGCGCTGTGAAAAGTCACCCAACTCACCGACTCATTGCAAACCAGTCCGGACGACATCATCAACTCGGCAAACCGGACCGAGTCGATCCCCTCCTCCCTGTTCTTCTCGAAATCAATCCCTTGCTTCCTCAGGAGGGCGATGTAATCAGGCGCGTGAGAGTCGCGCTCCACGTCGAAGTCTCGAAAATTGAATTCCCAGATGAACTGCTCGTCGTGGGTGCCCAGGTGGGGTAGATTACCGGAAGAATCGGTGAGGGTGAGGCTCACCTGGATCAAGTTCAAAGCATCAACGTTGGATTTGAGGAGCCTGTAATGATCGGAAGGACGAAACTGGGCGTTGTAAGACCGGGTGGGATCCATTATCGGCCTGAAAACAATACCCGGAAATTCAGTGTCTATGGAAATGAAAGGGTACTCATCGATCACTCGGCTGATCAACTCGAACTCCGCTTCTAGATTATCCGACGAAACCTCCCTTATCTTAACATGTCTCGAAACCCTGTCTGAATCATCGAACCCCATGATCTGAAGAGAGAGAGAGAGACTTGTGTTTTCTAATGGGAGTGTTTTTTGCTTGCAGAAAACAGAGCGAAAGGGTGGGTATATATGAGTAAGGGGGAAGTGGTCAAAGAGAAAGAAGGGACGAGTTTCCATTCGGGAAAAAACTATGAATGTAGACTAGGGTGACTGTATGATGGGCAAACTATGAATCCAGTTTACTTATTATTTCTCGAAATGGGGTGAAATGTACTGTGCTTCAAGTGGTTCTTCGGATATCTCGGCGTTTTTAGGGTTAATTTTTTCCATGCTTGATTTCTCGGCGTCTTTGGGGTTATGACACTATGGGAATGCTCGGCGTCTTCAAGCAATTGGACTGTGGGATCTCTCGGCGTCTTCTGCATGCTACAAGGAATGCCAAGGTGGATCTCTCGGCGTCTTCACCTGTCGTCTGGCGCACGGGAATCTCTGCATGACTCTCTGAATCGTGCATGCATGCTGGGGGGCCTGGACGTCTTCATCTCTGCATGACTCTCTGCATGCATGCAGAGTTGATTTAACACTTGAATACAATAATAATGGGAGTGCTCGGCGTCTTTAGTTAATAGGGTTACAAGGGCATTCGATTTCCCGGCGTCTTAAGTTATACATGGAGAATATTTGGTTGCAGGTGGTCGTGAAATCTCGGCGTCATTCGTTCTGCATGCGTCTGTATTCTTTGTGGTCGAAGCGTGAGATTCGTCTGAAGCGTCTGTATGCTTTAGGGTCGAAGCGTGAGATTCGCCTGAAGCGTGAGATTTGTTGTATGCTTTGAGACTAATAATTTACTCGAAGTCTTCAATTGCAGGGATGGTATTATAAAAAAAACGTCAATAATTGGTGCACCGACTTGTTATAGAATAGGGGTGGGTATTGTATTTCATTGCATGCAGTTGGTTTTAACTTACAGAAGTAAGTGAGGGAATTTTTTTTTTTTGCATTAGATTCAATTGGAGCTGCTGCTTGAAGTGATATTGGAGATTTTTGTTGGTTCGGTAATTTTTCGAGCTTTGGTTTAACGTCGTTCAAAAACACGTAAGTTCTTTCTCGTTTCCCATACGAACTCTGTTTTTTTTCGTGTTGAAAGAATGCTCATATATGTTAGGAGAATGATACATTTAAATTTTGTTCATGAGACCATAGTAATGTAATTTAGAGTACTAATGTTAATTTAAAATTAGAAAATGTAAGTTTGATGATTAGGTATACAGAAAATTTAAGTTTGAGTATTATTGTTAATTTAAATTTTCGTGTAATTTTTAGTTGTATTTTTATATAATAATTATTAGAATTTTATTTTGATTTAGTGGGAAAAAAATTCTCATTATGTAATCCTGACATTTTTACCGTAATAATAATGTATTTAAGTATTATTTTATAAAACAATTGTTAACATAATTATATTTATTATTATAGTTTGTAAATAATTAATTTTCATTACATTATTAATGTAATTATTCTGAATATCTATATTTTTACGTGTAGAGAAAATGAGCAACAAATTTTTCACGATTGTCCATTACAATGGACATATGATGGAAAATGAGGTCGGAGTTATTTTTCAGTCTGAAACACCTATAAATATGATGTTTAAAAGGGACATCACATTGTAGAGATCAAGGAGAGGATAGAAAGAAAAAACGTGCTAAAGTTGATGGTTTGAGGTACAGATTTATGGTATGTCCCAATCCGGTCAGGTATGCTGCAGTACCACTTGAAGAAGACGATGATATTATAACTATGGTTGAATTACATGACTCAACAAATATTCCAATTATTGAGTTATTTGTTGAGTTGTGTAATATATCTAATGTGCCTGGGTCATCAATAAATGCGGTTGGAACTTCATCTCAAATGGGTTTCGAGAGTCATTTCGATAACCCAACATATAGGTCGATGAACAACTTTGTGGCGATGTTGGAAAGTGCAAATGAAGTTGGTGGAACATCTGGAGCCGCAGAGTATTATGCTGAAAACCGCTGGGAAGAAATACTTGAAGATTCCAGTGAAGATGAAGAAACTGAGGAACCTTTTTTGGCTGAGGATGATGCCATGTTCCATGGTGATGAAGCTGATATCAATATTGATGAATATTCGACATCGTATCAACCTACCCCTCACATGCAGGAGATTGATTATGAAGCAATGAGGGCACCTGAATTCCCGGAGATGCCACATTTAACTTCAGGCTATATGATTGAATCGTCCAATAACTCTGGTGAATTAGCAGTTGGGAAGCAATACAGAGGAAAAAAAAGAAGCTACACTAGCGATTAAAGAGTATTGCATAAGAGGCCATGTAGATTGCAAGACTGCAGAGTCCAACCAGAAAACTTTGTACGCGAAGTGTGTTAAATATGGGCCCGAGTGTAAATGGTTGATCAGAGTGTCCAAAATGCAGAGGCAAGATGCTTGGGTCATCACAAGGTACAATGGTCCACACACATGTTTGCAAAACTCTATCGAACAAGACCACCGACTACTGGACTCCGATATAATTTGTCAATATGTGAAGGTTTTGGTTGAACAAAATCCAAGGATCCCTTTCTCGGTGTTAGCTGCATCTATTCGAGACTAGTTCGGATACAATGTAAAATACAAACTCGTGTGGCATGCGAAGGAGAAGGCAAGGAGGTTGATATATGGCGATTGGGATACATCATACAATGAGTTACCTGATTTGTTACGAGCTATGAAATAATTCATACCTGGAACCATCGTGAAGTCTCAGACCATGCCTGCATACGACCGAGAAGATCAACTTGTTCAAGGGAAGAGAATATTCCATAGACTCTTTTGGGCATTCAAGTCTTGCATAGAAGGTTTTCCATTTTGCAAACGTATGGTCCAAATAGATGGTACGTGGTTATACGGTCAATACAGACATATATTATTGATAGCAGTTGCGCAGGATGGTCAACGAAATATATTCCCAATTGCATTCGCCATCGTTGAAGGAGAGACAACAGAGGCTTGGGACTTCTTTCTCAATAATCTACGTAAGTATGTCGTCGAGAAGAAGGAGTTTCCTTGATATCCGATCGAGGAACTGGCCTTTTGGCAGCAATTTTTCAGCATTTGTACTCATTTATGTGCTTGTTTATAAATTGACTTTAACACAATATCTATTTTGAAACAGGATATGAACTACGCCAACCAAATTTTGACAAGAGATTGGAGGAAGTTTCATAACGGCCGTATTCGTAGGAGATAGTCAGCATGGGTAAGTTTTATTTTCAGCATTTGTACTCATTTATGTGCTTGTTTATAAATTGACTTTAACACATATCTATTTTGAAACAGGATATGAACTACGCCACCAATTTTGACAAGAGATTGGAGGATTTGAAGGTCATAGATGAGCGCGTTTGGAAATGGGCGTCGAAAATCGAGCGGGAGAAGTGGTCGCAAGCATACGATTGTGGTCGGAGATACGGACACATGACTACAAACCTTGCTGAGGCCATTAATTCAGTACTAAAAGTACACGACATCTCCCATAGCGAGTGTGGTGAAAGAGACATACTTTAGGTTGGCTAAAGTTTGGTCGATAAAGGGAAAGATCGAGTGTCTGATAAATCGAGGTAAAATATGGCTCCGGCGGTGGTAGAAGCAATGGAAGCAAATGAGCGTATGGCAACCTCAATGTTTGTTCATGACTTCGATCGAATTGGATATACTTTTTCAGGCGTGGAGATATCCGTGTGCTCATGCAGTCGCTGCATGTATGCATACTGGAATCAATTCATACACTTATGTTGATGAGTGCTTTCACCTACAGAGGATATTAAATATATACAACCATGAGTTCAGACCGATCCCAATGAATCTTATTGGGACAATCGAGATCATGATGAATGGTTGCCAAATCCACTACTTCGTAGAAGTCCAACGGGTCGACCGGAATCTACTCGTATCATACCAGTATGGATGTACATATTAGAGAGAAAGGCCAACCGAAGAGGTGTGGATTATGTAGAGGTGAAGGGCATTCAAAGAAATTGTCCAAACCTTCCACAGTATAGACCTCAGCAGTAATCTTATTATTTTATAAATTTTATATTATATGCGATTCAATTACTCGAGTACATATTAATAATAATTATTTAAATTTAATTATAACTTTAATGATTTAATAATAATTATTTAACTTTAATGATTTAATAATAATTACTTTAATAATTTAACTTAATGATTAATAATAATACTTTAATGATTGAATTTTAATGATTTAATAATAATTACTTTAATGATTAATTTTAATGATTTAATGATTTAACTTTAATGATTTAATTTTAATGATTAATGATTTAACTTTAATGATTTAATAATAATACTTTAATGATTTATGATTTAATGATTTAATAATATTACTTTAATGATTTAACTTTAATGATTTATAATAATTATTTAACTTTAATGATTTAATAATAATTACTTTAATGATTTAACTTTAATGATTAATAATAATTACTTTAATGATTAATTTTAATGATTTAATAATAATTACTTAATGATTTAATTTAATGATTTAATGATTTAACTTTAATGATTTAATAATAATTACTTTAATGATTAATAATAATTACTTTAATGATTTAACTTTAATGTTTTAATAATAATTACTTTAAGATTTAATGATTTAATAATAATTACTTTAATGATTTAACTTTAATGCTTTAATAATAATTTAATGATTAATGATTTAATGATTTAATGATTTAATAATAATTACTTAATGATTTATTTTAATAATTTAATAATAATTACTTAATTTTAATGATTTAATTTTAATGATTTAATAATAATTACTTGACTTTAATGATTTATTTACTGATATAATAATAGTAAATATATTCGATTCAATTACTTTAATTGATACAATAATTAAAATAAGGATTAAAACTCTTGTCGGTGTCGGGGTGTTGTTGAGTAAAATGTCGAGGCCCACGTCGGTTTCGTTGTGTCGTTGCAGTTGTCAGGAGTTTGTTCAGCATAACCAA